CATATAATCTTATAGAAGTGTGTACGTTTGGGTGTGTTATAAATAAAAGCAGTATGATTAATCATGTATTAATTTATATTACCAGAAATTCCTTCTAAATCCTTTTGAGTATACAAACATTGATGATATTTCTTTTCTGTTTTCACTTTATTAATTTAAGAATGTATTATACATGTAATATTTCGTATAAACACTGCATCAATTGTAATACTAGTTTAGAAATTTTAATTTGGTATGTATATATACTAATTTCTGTTTGAAATTACTGCAACTTTAGGGTCAAAATTAATGAAGGTTATTGGTATTATTATGGTTTCTAATTAATAAATTATAAATATTAATAATTATATATACTATAAAAATTAATAAATTATAAAGACAAAAATATCCTTGGCTTAGAGTTTCTGCTCTATCAATCACAAACTAAGATGTCTCTTGGATATCAGTAAATGATATATTTTAGAGCATTGCCTATCAAATGACTTATCAAAGGTTAGCACCAAACTTTGACAATAAAATATACGTGATATTCTACTTTTGCAAATTTGTTGTGTCACACAAAATATGATCTAAATAGCTAACATATGACTCAATGTTCAGTCATTCTCCATAATATGCGTATTACCAATTATTAACAGAATATTAGGTAGGCAACAATGCTGTAATATTTATTCAGACTTTTATTTAAAGTCAAGTATAATCTGTTTGTCTATAGTGCTTTTATATCTACCACCCCACTTAATCAGAAGGAAGCTTTCTAAAGCTTTTATGTCAACTTTTAAATGAAGTAGTCCTTATTTAACATTTTTAATTTAAAAACTACTAAAAAAATTTACACAGTTTTAAATCAAATATAAATATTAGAATTGTGTAGGCAGTATTTGAAATTATCAAACACAAAAACATAGGGGTGTCCTTTAGAATGCATGGATTTCTAATACATTTATTTAGGTTATCTATGCTGAACTTTATTTATTAACATAATAGCTCACAGGTAATCTTCACTATTAAGTATTTTAAGATGCTTATAATGGGAAACAATATAGAAACTAAAATTAAAATTTATTTCTGTGAATGTTAAGTGAAAAGAATGTTAAAAATAAATAGAGCATATTCACAACTTGGTTTTGAATATCATACATACAGTAAAAAGACTCAAAAGAAAATTTAAAAATCATTTACCAATCATTTACTCAAGAAGTAGAGTAAGGGTTATCTTTACTTCCTTTTGATCTCATGCTGTATTTCCAAATTCATTGTAATATCTATGTATTACTTTAAAAACTGTTTAAGAAATATGCCACTTTGGATGAGTTTTTTAACATCTAAACATTGCCAAATGTTGTTAAAATGTCAATTTTTATGTAGATTTCTGAAAGATCCAAGCTGGCCATAAAAATACTGAATATATTAGAGGAGGGGGAATTTTCCCTCATCCTGAAATAATGATAATTAGTAGTATTTTTTAAAGCACTATATAATTTTCAAAGCATGTTTATGTACATACTCCCATCAGACCATCCTAACTATCTAGAGTTAGGAGAAAAAAGATAAAACTTATTTTGCAGATGGGAGAAATCCAAGTTCTTGAAGTTTAGCAAATTGCCCATTTAAGCAGTGCACAGTTTTTAAGTTGCAGGGCCAGAATTCAAGCCTGTTTCATGCCATGGCCAATCTGCTTTCCTCTATGCTGTAGGAACTGGACATGTTTAGAGATAATCACAAAATGGAAACAGGCTGGAATCTGCAACTAGTTACAAATTTACCTGTAGACCTCACTGGAGCCTGAACTATGAAAATCTATATGGATTTCTTTCTTCAGTCCAAAGAAATGGGCAAGTTGAGTAAGTTTCTAGGTTTAATTTAGAAAAACTCTATGATATCTGTTTTTTTCCACCATGTTTGTGTATCTTGTGTCTACCAACTTCTCCAAAGAACCATGCCTCCTACCTAAGGGATCAAACTGCTTAATAAACAAACATTGACAATGTTGATGTTAACCTGAATTAAATAATATACCAACCTAATTTGCATTGACATAATGCTGACATTCATGAGATGATATCATTTTATTTACACACACACACACACACACACACACAGACACTTAACTAGGTCTAAGTTAAGTAATAATTTTTCCTGCAGGCTAGAACATTATTTATATAATTGCAACACATGGCCATATAATCTCTTATTTTAAAAAGTAATAATTAAAATTCACAGAAAATTCTCTCCTATAACTACATTGGACAATTGTAGTGTATTTCACTAAGTTTCTGTTAAATATAAAGCTATTTTAAATAGGTCATTTACGAGATCTGTCTTAGTATTTTTATGCTCCTGAAATATCACTATAACCTGCTTTTTAAAATAGTCTGACACCTACCAAGTATTCTTTTACCTCCTACAAGAAAGCAAGAAAAAGAAAGCATTTATGTTTTTAATTTTAGTGAAAGGTTCTTGATTTAAGAATTAGTCATTTGCTGTCATTTGCGTTTCAAGCATTCTGTAAGTACTTGAGGTTCTTTCTGTATGACTTCTCCAGAGTTTTCACATGTATCATTAATTTCATCTTTCACTTGGGATTAGTAAAATCAAAAGGTTTATTTACTACTATTCCTTAGTTTCCTTCATTTCAAATATTCAAGGCCTTCTCAAAAATAATTTATGGTCTTATATTATTTGTTAATAATAGATAATGTCAAGAAATTGTGATTCTGGTTTTCAGTTAAAAAAACAAACTGAGAAACTAAAGAAATAATTACTATCACATTTTTTTCCTACATCTAGCTAATCAGATAGTCATATCAGTGAATGTTAGATTTTGAGGCTATGAATCCTGGTACTAAACATTTTATATATTCTGAGAAGTGAAAAATAATACTTATTATGCTTCCTCTGTGCTAAATACTGTTTTAGAACCAAATGGAATTCCCCCTCACAACCATCCTAAGAGGTAGGCATTACCTAAGTAGGTATTAATACCTATTTTACAGATGGACAAACTGAGGCACAGAATGATTAAACTATTCATGATTACACAGCTAGTAAGGCACAGATACAATGTTTAAAATCAAGTCTCTGTTTTGGTGAGAGTCTACCTTCCCAACCCCTATAATGGATATAAGATTTTGATCCCTACTGTTTGTTATATGCCCACTTACTTTGTGGAAACAAAGGGAGGGAGGAGGAAGGGAGAAAAGGAGGAAAGGGAAGAAGAAAAGAAGGAGGACTAGAGGGAGGCAGGAAAATTGTCAAAATTCTGCCAGCTTGTTGATACTATGTGTTATATAGCTCATAATAAGATTCAATTTAAGGATTTGTAGAGATTTACACAGAATAAATAATTTTAAATTTCCTCAAGTGAAGTCTCTGGTAATATTATCAGAAGGGGATAGCAAATGAAATTCTATTTAATTCTAATCATAATGAAAATGCTATAACATGCTTATATTTGGAACAAAAACAGTTCTATTAATTCTCACAGTAATAATTCTACCTTTTCTTAAAATTACTATCATTTTTTTCACCCTTAACACAGCTTATTTAGTTTTACTTCCTACCCTTTTTCAAAAGTCCATAAATTTTAGTTAGGCTTAAATCATAGGAAAAGTGACGTTTAGAGCCTGTAGGAGAAAGGAAACACCCCACCTTGCCATGCCATGCCCAGCTCTGTCCATTTCTATCAGACTTACTCGAACAAGACAGGAGGAATTACTCTTACTATTCAGATTTAATTGAACATTCACTGAGCCACATTTTACTATTACAGAGGGTCACCTGTGTTTGTTTAAAGGTATACAGTGACGGTTCCCAGATTTTTTCTTGTCTACTGCCTGGTCCTATGAGAGCAGGGAAGTAGAGTGAAGATGCTCAAAACCTAGACCTCAGTCTCTTTTCTCTGTTAGTTCCAGGGTGGGCTTAATCCAGCAGAACAGTGGACTCTTCTGTGTTTCACTGGCTATTTCCATGCAGCTCCGTTTTGAGCCTGGAAAATCTTGCATGGTCTCTCATCAACTTCTTTCTTCAGAATGTACTAAGAAAATGGTAACATGCCCCCCGTAAGCCTTTACCACAACTCTGACTCAGGGTTATCAGGAAGTAATTCCAAATCTCAGACATGTTCTGTATCTTAATCAACAATAAACTATTTATAGTTAACATTTACTCTGGATTATTCACGTGTTCTAATGCCACTGGAAACTGCTTCTGTCTTCATGTGCTTAAAGCTAGGATAAGGATGGATCTTATTACGATAGTTTAGAAATTTTAATTGGTGATTATGTAGCAGGCACTCTTCTAGGTATGGGTGATGAGTCAAACAGAGCAGTTACAATCCACGCTCTAATTTTCAACAAGATTGTTAAGAAAGAGTTCTTAACATTAAAATTCAAACAGGACAAATGTACAGAAATCATACACAATAAAAAAAAGTCAGTTTAATATGCATGGTTGGCATTTTGGAGATAGAAGAAATCTAGCAAAAGTTTTACAAGATTAATGATACATATAGTCAAGTTGAACTTTATTTGAATCAAGCTGTTTTTTTCAAACCAAGTAAAAACATTGACAGTAATTATGCAACTTTATAGTTCCTTATTTAGTAAACATACGGTGCTTTGACTTATGATATGAGGCAATTTTAATATTTTGAGGAACGATCCTTTAGCATTTTGGAAATCAGTTTTTTTCATTGGTGAAAATTCTAATATTTGCCCATCAGTTTTATTTCATGTCTCCAAAATTGGATTAAACTGTCCAATTTTAAATGAAAAACTGGCATATTATCTGTTGACCCTACAGTTCCTAGTTTTATCATAAGAAAAGGTAGGTGAGAGGAATCCCCAGCTTACATTTGAAATTGAATTCTGAAAGTCTTTTTCTGATTGATTAGTACATGTTGATATTACAACATTATTTGCAATGACAGAGGACATTGTCAAGTTGTTATTAGCATTCATTCCAGCAGTGGGTTTTGAGAATGTAATAGTTTTTTTTTAAACTACTTTTCCTCCTCTTGATCCATGATTCCAACTCTAAAAATATCTTGATTCATTCATATCTCATACATTCAAGAAATAATTATTGATCACATGTATTATTCTAGATATGAAGCTGGTCACTAGGGAGTCAAAGTTGACTTGGCTCCCAAGGAGACCCCAGTGAGCATTTGCTTCTTACTCTTCAAGTGCCATCGATCCTGTGCAATCAGAAGTAATAAGGAATTAAGTAGCATTCATACCATAATTAAATGTAGATTGAGCCAGATGATTTTCAAAAATCAGGTTTAATCAGACAAAGCGCAAGAATGTTTTTTGGGATTTGTCCCTGATGAGCATCGTTATCTGTCTTTGAGATGCAATAATAGAAGTCAGGGAGTAATTTATCAATTTGCGAACCAAGATGAATGATGTTTCCTCCTTTAGTCACTGACTTTCTGCAGACAGCCAAGGCACTTCCACTTTCACAGCCAAGAAATCACCAGTAAATAGCAGTGTTGGTAGATGCTGGATTATTTACTGCCATGGGTTTGAGAATATCAGTGAGCTGCATTTTGACTACTTGTCAAGCATTTTGACATCTTGGGGCAGAAAGTGCTATTTAAATATAAAGAGCATTTTCTGTTGAATTGCTGTTAGTCATCCCTATGAGGAAATGATCTATTAAGTAACAGATCAGAGTATGGGAGAACTGTCATGATATAAGATTGATTTCTGCTAAAGAGACCTTCAAGTAACTACGTGTTTCGATTTGTGGTTGTTTTCAATCATTCGTAAATGACCACAGTAAAAACTCGATATAAAAAGCTATTTGAATTTACTTTCCAGAATACTTCCCTGAGATTCTCTATCTCTCCTTCTTGCTCTCGTTCCCTCTCTCTCTCACTCCTTCTCTCTCAGACCAGGAGAGCAATGGGTCTCAAGCTCTAGTGCGAATCAGAAGGCTTGTCAAAACAAGGATTTCCAGGGCCTCAGCTGGGAATTTGCATTTTTAACAAGTTTCTAGGAGATACTTTGACTGCTCAAATAAAAGGAATGGGAATTTAGGAAGTGGAAAAGGAGAGCGATAAAAAGCTGAAGGCAACCTCAGGGAACTCAGCTCACAGAGCGGCCCAAGCTGTTTGGGAATGTAATCACTACTGCCCCGGGGAGCTTATTCGAGGAAAATGGCTCTCCTCTTTGTAAGCGATTGGCCTAGGGCAGCGTGTGGAAGTCCTAACCTTCCCATTCTTAAGCCCAGGTTTGCAGTTAATGAACCATTTAACTCCCTTTGCTCGTCTTTCTCAGACTTAAAATAGTAATCGTAATTTCTCTCCCCTACTTTTAAAAAACAAGACAAAACAAAAAATATACAAATCTTTATGGTCTTTCCCTATATGTAAAGTTCTTTGGATTTATCCATCCACCACCACAATGTAGCCAAGATGAGCTACAAAAATTTAGCAAAATTTTTCTTTCCATAAATATTTAAGGCTTTTAAGCTGAACTATTTAGCAGTAAATACCAAATACCTGTTCTCTACTATCTGGGGCTATATATTTTCTTGACTCTGCCTAACAGGTGAGGAGCCACCAGGGAACAAGTGCTCAAAGAGACTCTAAAAAACCCTATCTAATCTGCACCCCACTCCGCTCCACTACCAGCTCTCCACTGTATGCCCTGCTCTTCTCAGTCCACACCAGGAACACCAGCATCCTTTCTGTGCTTTCAACACTTGGCATTTTCCCATCCCAAGGCCCCTGCATTTACAAATTCATCTTCTAGAAATGTTCTAGAAAAGTAACTCACACACGTATAAATAGAATATTATACTAGCGGGTATGATAGTAGATAGGATAAGACTACAAGCCTCTGGTCAAATGTCACCACATCAGTGAGGCCTTGATCATCCTATAAAAAATTACTTTTGTGCCTGCCTGTGCAGGTGCACACACTGAGCCATCCCACCCCTGATTTACTTTTCTCCATATATTTATTCCCATCTGCCAAATAGTGTATTTTTGGTATTGATTTATTTTCTGTCTCTCCAGATAGAAAGCAAATTCCATGAGCATAAGGTATTGGTTACAACAATCATTGACACATAAGAGCCACTCAGTAAATATTTCAAGAATGAAAAAAAAAAAGGAAGGTGCTATATCATTACCATAGATTATCCACTGTGAATTTTGGCATTGCTTTTGCATGACTTGCTCAAATGGATCTTATATGCCTCTCATACTACTGGCGGTTCCTTAGAACCACCATTGCTCTTTATGCCCTCCTTGCTTTTTAAATCTTGCTGCTGTCTCTGCCTAGAGTGTTCGTCTCTAAAAAGTTTTTGTTGTCTTTTAAATTCCTACATTTCATTCAAAACACAAATCGGGTGTTCTGCTCTTCAAAAATATTTAAAGATAAGCTTGTTCCTTCTCTCTGTCCCCTTTCCCAACCTGGCACCCTGTCCTGCCACTTATCCACTCCTTATACTATTCTTGTCTACTGGAAACTCATGCCAGCCTTACCGCAGACCACTTGAAAGCAGGGGCTCTTTCGGATACCAGAAGCACAATGCCCAAATGCCTGGCACATGACAACTACTTATGCACGTTGAATAAATGACCAACAATCCACCTTATTTTTCATTGTCCTAAAAAGCTACTCTTCATTCCTCTAAACTGCTAAAAATTGCCCTGAGTGATATAAGCATAATGAGTGTGAGAATGGGCACTCAGGATGACTAGCTTGAAGATGAGCCAAGTCAAAGCTAACTGAAATAGCTCTCAAACAAGGAAGAGGAGAGAGGCACCCAGGCTCCTCTAGGAGGAGCAAGTAGCAGTGATGCCGGTGTCCACACTGCCACGGAGAAAACCACTGCCATAGGAAGCTCCTAGTAAAAATGAAATGTGTAGTGTCTCCCGGGTATGTGATAGGAGAGCGTGATAAAACTCTTCAGCAGCCCTGTTTCTGCATCATTTCGTGTATGCTGAGGTAATACACAAATTTTACTGTGTAATTAGTCTAAGAACTATTCCCCTAGGGTAGAAGATGTTGTCTTATTCTAATCGCATTGCTCTAACAGAATACCACCAACTGGGTAGCTTATAACAACGCAGTTTATTGCTTACGGTCCTGGAGACTGGAAAGTCCAAGATGGAGGTGCCAGCATGGTTGCCTCCTGGTGAGGACCCTCTTTCCGGTTCATAAGCTGGCACCACCTCCCTGTGTCCTCACGTGGCAGAAGGGGCGGGGGATCTCCCTGGAGCCCCTTTCATAAGGCACCAGTCCCATTCATGACAGCTCCACCCTTATGGCTCCAGCTCTTCCCAAAGGCCCACCTACTAATACTACCACATTGGGCATGAGGTTTTCAACACATGAATTCAACATATGAAACATTCAGACCATAGCAGATGCTTAAGAGTCAAAGCTTGTTCTAACCCGTATAGCCTGGGAAACTGGTAGAATTTGGAGATTAATGAAGTGTATGTGGCTTAGTCTTGCACATTTGAAGGTGATAAACACCCAGCCCTGTCAAACCACTGGGCACTGTGAATGAGTGTTTTGCCTTGGCAGAAAGGTGTTGCACCTGTTTCTCCTACACCTTTGAATGAATTATGTGTGATATCAAAAGAAGACTTTTAAATGCGAGCAATCTGAAGCAAAAATGATAGAAAAAAACTGCAGAGAAGCAAGGTGAGTGAGTATTGAAAGGCAGAAGTGATATACTGATAGACCTGAAAATCAACTGTGAGTAATTTAAGTTGATTAAATGTAGCATAGAAAATGTGCAGGAAAAGTTGATGAGATCAAATTAGCAGGCAAAAGAAATAATTTTCTCAATAGTAACATTTTTGCTGTATCAAAATAGAATGCAGTCCGTAAGAGATTGAGAAAATGAGTAAAATAATTCCTTTGTCACATGACTAGATCTAAGGGGAAAATTAGAACTCGACCTTAATGTAAGGAAGGAATCACTGTTAAGAAATAAAAGTTAAATAAAACAAGAAAAGGGAGTCTCAGAGGCATGAACCAGGAAATAATAACTTGCCTCATTTATTCATAAATGATGGGGCTCAAGTGTCAAACAATAATCAGTATCGAGGCTGCAGAGAATAAAGAGGTCTGAAGAATTGCAATTCAGGAGACATAGATTCAGGGTGAAACTTCCATGGAAGAGAAAGAGTCAGGGGCTTGTGAAGATAAAAGGCACAAGGCTGTTAAAGTTGTCTGGCAGAAGTTACAGTGGACTCTGACGCAGCAAAGGAAGTATTTGTCCTTAAGGGATACTCTGTTTCATTTTAGGCTGAGGGTCTGATAAGTATCTTGAGCTTCTGAGACTTGGGCAGATGTTCTGGATGCCTGCATTAAGACAACAACAGGTGGTCAAAGTTCAGATTCCATCCCAGCTGAGATGTGCATAAGTCACACTTCCTCAGTGGCCTCTCCAGAGGCTCCATTTCGGAGAGTTCTCCCTAGCAATTCTGACTCCATTTTGATTTTCCTTTTACATAACTTACCTTTACTTTTCAGATTTGTTGGAAACTGACAAGCATATTCTCACATAGTTCTTGTTGTCTCTCACTTGCATTAAAATGCACAATATCCAACATCAAGAATTGATTATTGAGTTTTGTTACATTTTTCTCAAACTCAGGGTTTTTTTTTTTTATTTTAAAGCAGCAGTAAGCAAACTTTGGCCTATGGACCAAATCCACTCTTGGGCTCAGAACGGTTATTTTCTAAAGGTTGTAAGAAAAGAAAAAGAAAAAAGAAAGCAGAATATGTGACAGACTTATGTAGCCCTTAAACACAAAAATGTTGATCACCTGGAGGGCTTAAACTTAAAGGGATAAATTTAATATTCACATTCATTATATATCTGTGCATGTACATGAATATAATAAATAAATAATGAATAACAATGAAATATCGTATATACAATGAATGTGAAGATTTGTATATACATAATCAAATATAATATGAGAACAATTTGGTCTTACACATTATAGGATTTCACACCCTAAAGAGTGGGTTTCTAGATAAGGGAAAGAGAAAAAGAAAATACCAGTTCATAGTTCATTGAGGACAAGAAGAAAGAAGATTGAAGCAAGTTTGCTTCTTTTTGCAATTACAACATCACAGAAGAAAGGGAAGTAAAAAATGTGAAACAGAAGCCTCACTGTGGAAGAGGCATGGGGAGAATGAATAAGGCAACGAAAGGGTGTGAATGACTTTGAGAGCTCTGGTGCTGGGAGCAAAGTGGGGAGTCATAACGTCTGTCCCTGCAGGTATCCTAGGTTGTCTTCACTCTGAGATTTCTCTGCTACTCCTGATGCTGCCCTGCCCCAAACATGTGTCAGAGGATGGGACTCTGTCTTCAAAGGTCTTGCTGACTTCTCAAGAGAAACATTGTACAAACAGACCTACAAACATACATAAGTATATATCCGCACCTCTTTTGGATGGTAGATTTTGGCTGCTTCTGTCTGTGTGTATAGAACACTTCAAACACGCTTCCCTACTCAAATGCAACAGGACCACCAGTTTTCAACTGTTTTCTCTGTCCTGTTAACCACGCCTCTTTTTCTGGCAGCTGAAGGAGAAGGGGGTCTCCTTTCAGTTGTTATCTTTCTTGAAACTGTTTATTTCAACCCAATTCAGCCCAACCTCAACATCTGTGCATTTCCTTTATGAATCCATCTATTATGCCCATCTACTTTCCAAACTCCTCCTTATTGGGCACTTAAATATATAACAATTCCTGTTTGTCAGTGGCAATTAATCCTCACAAGTATTATCCACATCACATAAGTAAAGATAAAGAGACTTGAGAAAGGGCAAGTACTTTCCCAAAAGTTGCAAAGTTAGCAGGTAGCAAGTCTAGGATTTAGGCACAAAGGGTTTGAGCCCAGAGGCCATGCTCTTAACCTTGAAGTTAAACCCTCTCAGAAGAAGTTAAACCCTATTCAAGGGAAATGGGGGGCCAATATTGGCTCCCTTATTACACCAGCCACCAGAGGGGAATGATTAATGGAAAAGTAGTCTCATTAAATTTTTCTATTTCTTTAACCATTGAAGCAAGCAACAACACATCCTTATTAAATACAATCTCTCTTTCAAACTTTCTGATTATTTCAGAAACTCAGCGAATTTAGTTTATATTTTCATAACTTTTTCTTTAATTTCAGAACTTTATGAGAAGGGATCTAATCATTTATTTTAAATTTTGTGATTTCTTATGCTAAAAAGTATATATACAGATATCTGTATCTATAATATACTATATATAAAAGTATATATATTGTTAATGTGTACTTTTGTTAAAGCATTGCAAAACACCAACAAGTTGCACTTCATAAATATATCACCTTCCTCAACATTGACTTAATGTGCACTACAATTTATATTTTTTTTCTGATGAGTCCAGAATTATCAAATGATAATGCATGGCAAAGCCATGTTTTAACACTGGCTTTCACTAACTCTAATTTCCATGTTCCTGATGACTAAACTAAGCTTTCTTTATCCTTAATATTTTCTGAACTTTTCAGTTCAATTGAAACCTGGATTGTTTCAAATGATTCCCCTACCATCTCCAACAGACATTTAGTTTTCTCTTTCTCTAGTGTAAGAAGAGCCAGTCTACTTGTTACATTTGTGGCATGTTCTGATTATTATTCTATCATCTCTGTATTCCCCTAATTCTAACTTAATGTTAGGAAGTAATGTTGGCCTTCTCTCTATTCAAGCCACTCCTGTATCCTCCAGAGCCAGTGCCCACTTATACCTTCCTGAATGAGGTCAACTACAATTTCCCAGCTTCTTACCATCTTTATAATTTTATTACCTATCTTTGTCTATGCCATGACCTCATCTCTCATTCACATCTCAAAATTCAAGCTATTAGAACTCCATTGCAACAATAATAAAAAAAAGTATTACGAGCATTAGTAATATAAAAGTCCAATATTATCTGTTCTGTAAATTAGTAAACTAAAATTTGTAGTTTCACCATAGTAGTCTGCTTCTTTCCAAAACTTATTATGTTTCTATTACATGCCAAGCACTGATTGACTCTTTGATTTCATTTTTTTTCCCCAATTAGTGACAATTTTTGAAAAATTTATTTTCCAAACACAGAATGACAACTTGGTGAAAAAAATACTGTGATATGTATCTATCAAATACCAAGATTTGCCCATCCTCACTTTTGTATTCCCAATCATCCCATTATGTTACCAAACCAAACTTGGGTCCATTCGCCCATGCACAGTAAAGCCAATCTACTGATACCTGGCTGTGGTGAAGGACAGTGCATCATTTACTGTCGGGTGCCGTACAAGGAGTCCGGGACACCTAGCGCTCAAAAAGCCTGAACTCTTCAATGGGTTTCAGCAAAGCATTCTTAAAGGCGAGGTAAGAGAGGGGTGTCCCAGCGTATGTGATCAGCTCGTGCACAGTTCTCTGATGAGCTGATGGTGAGGTAACAGGGCAGTGTCACAGGGGTTAACATTATCAATCCTTAGGCGCCAGTAGGCCTGTGGGCTATGTGCTCATGGTCATCAAGTAGTTAATTTCTTCCATTTGGTGGTAATTTTAGCATCTGTAAAACAACTCAGGAAATGTGCCTCAGATACGCTTATCTAGGTATGTCTGAGAGGAGCTAAAGCAGAGGATATAGGGGAGGGGTTGGTCCCAGCAAGGCCCCACAGGGTTCTGTTCAGTTACAATCGTAGTTTAGATTCTGTCATTTTCATCTAAGCCCTAGTCTCTTGTCTTACTCACCTCCCATCAGTCCTCCATCTGTTAATGTGAAATAAGAGTTCATACATATAGAACATCATCTGAATGATCTTCATAACTATGGCTGTTTGCTTTCTTAAGAACACTTCAAAGATGCAGAGTGTTGGAGGGGAAAGCTGTCACCACCTGCTGACTTGTGCCCAAAGTGTCAGAGGCTGGAGCTTCTGCCTTCAGAAATGGAGAGGCCCAGCATAGAAGTGAAATGAGGAAGGCCACAGAAGAGCTTATGAGCCTTTTCACGACTTCTCAGAAAATATACATACACATATACATGTGCACAAGATGTACAGTGTGATTTCAAAGAGATTCTCAGAAACCCTGTATATCTTGAGCACAAGGGTTAAGAACTCTGTTTCCAGACATTCTAAAATTTACTCTTGAATAATGCAACCCACAGAGCTGTGTACTTGGACCAAATTACTTTTATCCTGTATAGTATTATTTCTGCCAAGTTGCCTAATCCCCTTGTGGCTTGCATAACAGACAACTGCAAGAATTTTTCTATTGGTAGAGGTCCTCTTCTAGCTCATTCTTCATACAAAGACTACACAAGTGCACATAATGTCTTACTAATTTATTTCATAGGTTTAACAGATACTTGGAGTTGAATGTAGAGTTCCATGGACTACAGACTAACAATGCTCTATAAAGAATAAACTGGTTCTTTGTAAACTGGACTGTTTATGTATTTCTCACACTCTCTCCTTCCCAGTTATTCTCTCTTATCATTTCCTAAATTCTTTTGATGTCTGTTCTATATCATTTGTACTAAAGTGAACCAACCAAGATGTTTTTGTTTTTTCCATATCTGGACAAAAATGTTAGATTGGAGGCCTAGAAGCTGGCATGGTGGTAGCAGTAATAATCAAAATGAGAGAACCCCTAAATGGATCTGATTTCCCTGCTTCAATTACCTGGGAGATTGTTTTCCAGTGCTAAAAGCAGGATATTCTGAATTTTGCTTTAGTGAAAGGAGTTAATGTTTCCTTAAATTACAATTTTATTTCTTCAAAAATCTCTGTGTAATTTCATTGACCATTGAGTAAACCCAAAATAAACTCCTGAGCCTGGCACTCCAGGTACTTCAGCTGTTCCAGCCCATCACTGCAGCTCCATCACCTCCCTGTCTACACACAGGCCTGTGCTGCCATCAAACTGCACAAACCTCGCTTCCCTCAAATGCTGGGGAGTCTTCTAATCTCTGCGTCCCTTTTTATTCTTTTGATTATGCCAGGAATTTGATTTTCTCAGATGCAGTGCATATTAAGTCTAATTTACATGTAATATGCCATTACAATTAATGAACTAGACAAAAAATTATTAAGCGACACCTAATGACGACCATGTTGTTATAAAACCAACATATATATACACACACAGTCATACATATTCATGTCTTTTAAAACTAACTTCACCCTCTACGTTCTCATAATACTTAAAATGTGCTTTGCTTTATATTTCTAGGCCATTGCATGTGATGCTCTCTTTGCCTGGAATTCTCTCCTTCCTCTGTACTTGACCTACTTGCCACCACTTCCTCATGTAATGACCCTGTCTGGAGAAGGCTTGTTTCCACCCTCCTTATGGGTTTCCCCTAGCACCCTATTCTAAGTTCTGTTGATTCACACTGCACTGTAACTCCCTGTTTATTGTCTTATTATTGTGTCCCCAGTGGCTGTATAGCACCTAGCATATAGAAAGCACTTGAATGAATGAAAGTTGATGACATTGAAATATATGTGTAACTGGTTTTGAGGACTTAAATGATATTTATTATTGAAAGTCATAAAAATACTTACAGTCTAACTCAGTAATCCAGGAGTCAAAAATTCAAATGCTTTCAGGGTCTCAGGCAAGTAGTCTAAATGTGCAGTGTTGGCCTGAGGGAAAGCAATGGGAAATATAGGTACTTACATATTAACCTAAACACATTCAGATTTACACTTTTATAAATACTATCATACAAGCCAAACTAACCATAGCCCCTTGACTCATTCTAAAGAAACAAATTCACTGAAGGGAAAAAATATTCATAGCGATATTACTTGTGAATCTACCTGTAATAAGGAAAAAAGAACACAAATTAAATAGCTAGTAATACAGACCTGATTAAATTAAATATTGATTATATTCAGTAATTGTCATATGTTCTTTAATATTAAAATAATTCCCAAACTGTAATATTATGGAATATGCTTTCATTATTGGAAATAGTGAAGGAATAAAGCGAAAACTGTATGTTTGCTGTAATTGCAACCATGTAAAAATGTTCATACTTGTTAAAAAAAAGGATTATGCAAAATGAAGATAGTTATGTTAGAGTGCTCAAAATAGAAATGATTTTTTAAAGTTCAGCATTTAATAATGTCATCATTTTTCCAATCCCAGTCTCTGGAGGAAACTTTGGCAATATCTTTTGGAGTCTTAGGAGATGACACCTAGCAAATGGAACCAGGTTACTTTGGGTAAGAGCTGAAGAATATGAATTGTGGGCCGAGCTAGAAATAACATTGTCATAGCAACCTCCAAAGATTTCATAGAAAAGGCATGGATTGGATTTCTTTTTCCTTTTAAGGAGATGACTAACAAGATCCATTTGAAATAGTTCTGATACAGTGAGGGATTAGATACGATAAGTTTGATAAAGAGTTTTGTTGAGAAATTGGGGTAAACTGGCATAAACTTAAGATCAGAGGTGAGTCTCCCTAGTGTGGGCTTAGCACATTTTGTGCATTGATTAGCTTTTGGTGATGTAACACTTATGTGATTCCAATCTGCCCTTCCTGCAGATAATAATTATTTAGTTAATAATAAGATATGAAAAATAATATAACAATTCTATAATGATAATAATCATTATTAGAAATAAAAGAGTTCAATTCTCCTTGTGAAGAGACATTTAATATATTTTTCTGATTCTTTAAAAAGGCTCAATTATCTGTTCTTAGTGTTCTCCTGTGATACTATATATAACCCCCTGGAAACTGAGGGCTGCGGAAACACTGATCACATCAGTGGAAATCATTGTAATGTCTTCCTTGAAGAAGGCATATTCCATCAGTCTCATTGCTCATTTGTTACACTGAATTGCCATCCTAAGCGACAGATCTTCTCAGTGTCTAGACTTCTTGCCAGGATTTATGTATTAACCCCATTCTGTTTGAGTTTAGATCAAGAATGCCCCTTAGATTATTTCATGAACCCAGGTTTCCTGTAGTTTGCAAATGCTGACTCAGCCCACTGGCCATGCGGAAGTTCTCTTTATACAAGGAAGGTTTTCCTCAATAGCAAATGACATCCCTGGCTTTGTTCAATATAGCAACTAATGCCCTAAGTTGCTAATTTTATGATAATGCTAAAACCTTGAGTGGTTTCTTGACCTCATTTGGAAAATCTGCCTCTGCCAGTAGTAACCACTTTGGTATCTTGCCCAAATAAACAGCCTAGATATGGGGCCATATGGTTAAGGAGGAAGAGATTGTCAGTAATTACACTTAAGGGGAAAATTCTAATTAGCATTTTTTTTCCATTTGAGGTAAACTTAGGTAAATCTGGGTTTATCATAAATAACAATATAGCCAAAGCATCATATTTCTCCTACCACATACAACTTTTGACTCTAGCTTCCTGTGTAACATTAAAAAAAACACAGTCAAACACTTATTATCTCAAAATAAGGGGCTGTGTGGCAGCATCAGGAAGCATTGTGAGTTGAGCCAGAATTAGCAAGGAGTAGGGCTGAATTTGAAATCCCTGCAGTTCAGGCCTCATCATTGAAACTGGCACCAGACTGCCCTTACAAGCAATATCTCTTCACTCTGTTCTCAAACCAATCAAATATATAACATAAATATCATGGTTCTGCCCACCATGTTTTATGAGTATATTTTCTGAAGCCACTGGTGAAATGAACTTTTTTAACAGTCTACTGAGGACAGGGGTTATGTTCTAAATCAAAAGGAATTTTGACTTCTATTTCTATTTTTTAGCATTTGACCACAAAATTAAACCTCAGATACTTAAAAAAGAATTCAGTCTTCTGTCTGAATGGGATCTGTCCATTTTGATAGTATATGAATGGGAAGTGTCATTCAACACTTACTGAGCTGCTGCTTCATATAGAAGACTCTACTAATGGGTTAAAAAATGTCTGAGATTACTGTCTCATTAGTCATGCAACTAATGATCACTCATATTAAAGTTCTGAATCAGAAAAAAAAAAAGGGTGGAGCAAATATTTGTTAAATTTTGCACACAAAAAGCCCTAGGGAGTACAGAAGGGAAGACATTTTCCATTGAAAAATAATGACTTTTCTGTAATAAATTAATGTATATCTTAATTATCTATGTTTCCATGAGGAAAAAAATTAATTTAACAGAATCATTCTGTAAAACCCCTATGGCTTGGAGTCATATGAAAATTTGTTGCTAATTTGAGGTTTTCTAAATTTAGTCATAATTTGAGTAATTAATAACCTTGAAATTTAGGAAAGTGACTCACATGACTAGCCAGCATCTTGTTTGCTCTATTTTGATTTACAACTCTGCCCTAATCACTCTTAAAAATCAGCCAGACAGTAAAAGATTCTCTACCTTCAAATCTCTTGATGAAATTTTCCAGATTAATCTGAATGGATTTAAAATGTGATGAAAGAATGGGGGTCATCTAAATTTAGTTTCTCTGGACAGCCACATGCAAAAGAATGAAAGTACACCATGCTTATACCATACATAGATATTAACTCAAAATGAATTAAGGACTCAAATGTAAGACCTGAAAACATAAAACTCTTAGAAGAAAACATAGGCAGTATTTGCTTTGACAGTTTTAGCACTGTCTTTCTGGATATGTCTCCTCAGGCAAGGGGACAAAAGCGAAACTAAACAAATAGGACT